CCGTTTATAAATTCTGCTGTCAACGCGAAAACACTTTTTTTCGGTGGGGTCACCGGAAATGACGTCGCAATGGCTGAGTTTAAAATATTTTTCAACCAAAAATTAAGAAAATGTTCTTTAAATATGTATCTTAAATACTATAAAAAGTTTGAATAAGAATTCCATTTTTTATATAGAAAAAAAACTGTTGAAAATATGCTATTTTTTCCCGGTGTAAACCCATGTAACCCCTTAAGTTCGGCCAGCGACCAGGGACAAAGGCGGTCCTGCACATGGCCAGAATTGTTCTGCTTTGTACGGATTCTTCTTCAACGTTTCAGCCAGGGTTTTTATGCCGAAAGGCTTTTCCCTGACGAGCCAAATAAAGCGTACTTGTTAGTACTGACAGGACTCAAATATATTTGTTATTTATGTTTTATTCTCCTATCCACATTCCTATTATTAAACAATCTCGATATCACCCGTGAGGGCATTTTCGATTCACTATACAATCCACTGGAGTATCGATTAAGGCATCGGTCGCAACAATTACTTTCAACAGGATAATGATCCTTTACATACTGCAGAAATTGTTAAGAAATAGATTATATACAATACCACTCACACTATGTCTTCTTCTCTTTTGCTTTCTGTCACTTTGTCTTTTCCTTACATTACTGCAATTTGCCTAGCTAAATATTTATCACAAAAAACTAAAAATAGGCCTATCCTACCTTTCATGTGAATTACTGTAAATAATTTCGATTTGTTTTATACCATTGATTAAATGTTACTCCTAGCTTAGTTGTACTACTGCGAAAAAATTTGAATAAAATGTCGTGTCAAGACGTCACAATATACTAAAACTTTTGATTATTTTAAAAAAGGATCCTTACAAATATTAAAATAAACAAACGAAAACCAGGTTTCTGTTTCGACGCATTATAAATTTATGTATCTTTTTTGCTCCATCTTAATCTGAACTTGTGAATAGATCTTCAAAGATTCAGATTAGTCATATGAATATCGTAATATACATATTAAAATTATGCAAATAAATTGTGATACATACTCGTAGTAGGTTCAAATGTAATTGATTAGTAACAGTGTTTTTTACTCGTTAAAAGTAAATCAATGCAAATTATATATCACTAAACATTTCATAGCCTCTCCTCTCTTTCTTACAACTTAATAAAAATGCCCATGCTAACCTTAGGCACGAATGGGGGATAATTGCAAAACATTCTATCATTTGTAAGAAAATAAGCAAAAAGAGAAGACCGAGAATAGGCTTGAATATGTATAACACGCGTTTTCTCTCTTTTTTGCATTTAAATTCTATCTTGCGTCTCTCTTCCCGCCGAATTTATGTGACACAGTTATCAGAAGTAACCGTCTGTTCGACCTTCCATTTTTTCTCCTTTGCACGTGAAGAAGTTTCACTTGCAAATATATTATATTTTTTTTATATTTATTGATTTAAGAAACAGCGCATTTACGTTTTTTAGATTATCTCGTCGCAAAATAATGAATATTCCATTTTAAATTACATAAACCGGTAATCGTATAATTAATACAAATTATTATGTTTTCTAACCATCGATCGATTAAATGATTCAACTAATTCCATATTCGCACATATATACAGTGTTTCAAAAAGTATTTGTGAACTTACAAGAAAATACTTTATTAATTTTTATTTTAAGTAAATATTAATTTATATGAGTTTAAATATTCAGATCTTTTCGAAAATTATGAATAAAAGAAAATTAAATAAACACTAACTTATAGTGGGTTTCAATACATATTTATACTTTTGTTGATTATTTATTCTACATTTTTTGAACCAGATTTAGGTAATAATAAAGTATCAAAATAAATTTAATTAAATATTGTTGATTTAAATATTGCTTTACAACGATAATAGGTTTTTTGTTTAAAAGTTAAATTATTGAATAATTGAATTTTGTCATTTATTAAAGTAAATAAAATTTTCATTTTTTGAGTTTGTAGCTTTTTCCTTATCTTTTCGATCTCTTCTCAATCCAACATGGAGGAGCGTATTTTTAAATAAAATGCTAGAAATCTACTCTCTAAATCTCCAAAAAATTTCTTATATAAAATCACACACAAGAATGACCTTCAAATGGTGTGTAAAGTTTTGTTAAGAATTTTGCACGTATAATTTTAAATGACGTAAATATTTTAAGTTAAATAACGTTTATTTGGTACACTCTGTATATATATTCATAGGCATTTATTATTGGTAATATTATATTCGTTATACCCATGAGACCATAAAAATAATATGAACAGCGAATAATAAATGAAATTCAAATTACTTTTGTAATTGTAATAAAGTGTAAATTTGTAATATTTATTTTTAACGAGGTCTTAAGGATGAACTTAAAAACCAAATTTCTAGATTACAATATAAATTTCTTTCAAATATTTAACAGAATATTTTGAGGTATATTAAATAATACATATATTATTTAATTGAAGAAACTATGAGTCCTTGATATAAAAAACTAATCGGAATGGAAAACAACAACATTATAAGAAGGTTGTTTACATTATAAATATGAAAGATTTTGTGACGTCATAAACGGCGGTCATAATCGTTATGTTAATATTATTTATTTAAATGGTAGTGGCAATTATTAAAGGAGGGATAGTTTATAAAAAGACATCCTCAGAAATGCAATCAAATAGCAGTTGTCTTTCGCTTAGTTTGTGTATTTACTTTATAACTAGTGCACTGAGTTCTTTCATATTCGGCTTGCATTATTATTCGCGAGTATAGTTTCAAGTAATATCGTTAATTTATTTTCTTTTTATATTACTCTCCTTCTATATATTTATATTGTAACAACATTGTATTATTTCGCAATATTTCTGTTCATCCAGTGTAACAACAAAAGCGATAATTTCCAAAAAGCATAAATAGCGAATAAACAGATTTTAGTATAACAGATAACAGTAAAAAAAAATACAACGAAAGTACATCAGAACATCATTACATAGTGAAAATGGCACTTCCAGTAGTCCAATTGCTAAAATATTTCGCAGCATTTATTTTCTTTCTTAATTATTGTACGGCAAATGAAACGAAAGAATTGAAAATCCGTACATTGCCAGTTTATGCAATGCTAGCAAACGCAGAACATTTAAATTCAACTCAATGTAGTAAGGAACTGATTGAATTTCGAGAAGCCATTGATCAGCAGTTATTATGGAGCTTAAATGGTACGTGAAAGCTACGAGATAAATTCTATTATTAGAGATTTGAAAAATATTTGTTTGGCAAGAAAGTAATTGCGGATTTTTTCCATAAAATAAAAGTGTTTTTTTTTCTTACTTGTAATGAACTTTAATCTATGATGTATAGTCCATTTTGTTCGATGACCTTTTG